ACGAAGAATTCGCATGCGAAGAAAAAAGTTTCGGTCCCTCGTGCGAAACAAAATCTTCGCATGCGAATTTCGGACTCGGCCATGCTAAATTCCTGTATATGGATTCACCCAATGACAAAAACGTTGGTGCGAAAACAATAATTCGCAAGCGAAATTCGCACCCGAAGTTCGCATCGGTTTTTCGGGCATATGGAATGTCAGCTTTAAGCTCCTATGATGACGAAGATATAGTTTTTATTAGATGCGTAAACGTTTCTAAAGTATGGGAACAATGTCAAAGAACAACCCTTCACGCAATTTGAAAAATTAAAAACTAAAAAACACTACCCCCAAAGAAAAAGCCAACAAAAGGTTTTTTAAAATTCAAAAATAGACGAGACCACGCAGACAAGACCACACATTTTGTTCAACCAACATACTTCTAGACTTATTATATGGATTACAACGCCAGGTATACCCACGCTGTTACTCTCGACAACGGCCGGGGGCTCTGTAAACTCGGAGAATTCGCAATTTAGATTAAACGTTGTCAAATTAATTGTAGATCTGTTTATTGTTTGTGTGAGCAGACGTGCCCATTCAAGAAACCCGCAATATAATTTGTGTCCCTCCGCCGTTAGGTCTGTTACTGACGTTATTTTCTTGAACACACAAAAGAGTTACCTGTAAAACACGGACTTGTTAGTTCCGTTGAAGGCTGTGCGTTTGTCAAAGCCACCATATCTGCCGTTCGCCGTCACAGCGGCAGCCTGTGGACTTGGGGTGATCTGAAACCAGAACAAAAAGAAGGTTACAGCTAAGAGAGAGAAAAAAAGAAGATTGCATTAGGTTTTGAGGGTTCTACTTAAGTCTATTGAATCTAACTCCTTGGATATTCGTTTTCATTGTTCATCTTACAGATGTGCGGGGGAGAAAGCTGACTTTTTTTTTTTTACATAGTAATCAAAGTTAGACAAAGAACCAAATACAGATAAGGCCACCCACTTAAAGCTTACCTACAATGGGAACATAATTAACAGAACTTCTGAGTCGACTTGGCCTCACTGAATTGTGAACGCACAAACACATAATAAATATGTCTGTCTGTCTGTCTGTCTGTCTGTCTGTCTGTCTGTCTGTCTGTCTGTCTGT